TTAGTGTTTTGGGAAGGGACTGGGAGCAAAAGTGGTCACATTCGTTAAGTTGCATTTTTATTATCATAAAACTTGGGAAAATATAAAGAAGCTAAGTCAGTTCTTGTGGCAAAGATACATCTCAGTGCTGAGGCACAAGACAAAAGACAATCCCTTTTAGAAAATCCCGTACAATAGCAAAATGCTATTACTGGTGTGTAACACCCACATCGGGGCAAAGATCCTTGACATTTTCTGATTCTTCTAAAGAACGAATTCTCTCCTCATTTCTCACCTGAAATGATGGGCCACTCACAAGATAAATAAAGCAAAGGACAGGGTGGTCAGTTGTGCCATAGAGGGGTGAAAAAAACAAGATTCCTTCAAAATTCTGGAATATTGTATTGGAATTTTCAAGCGAATTCCTAAATCTGTGGGGCTTGGTTGGGGACCCCCTTTGTAGAGAGGTTTGCTCACCACACCCCTTGCCAAAAAATCATCTCAGCAGCATGTTTTTGGGTGATATTTGACACCCTTTGGACTCTGATCCTGCCAACACCCCTGTGCTGGGCAGTCCCTGCAGTCACTCCTTGATTTGGAAGTTTGCTCCAAACCATGATGGAGCTGAGGATAAACACAATTAAAACTTTCTATGACTTTTAATTTGAGGCATGCAGGTTTTACTCCTTCCATCCACCACACAGGAGCTGGTTTTTACCATGATCCCCTTCAGTCACGTGCTCAGAACAAAAAAAATGTTGGCAGGATTGGAGCTGTTTTCTTTATACCTTGATTAAAATTTACTAAATTTACTTCTGCGTGTGCATGGACAGAAAGTTAATGCTTATTTATCAATATTCAGTTTTAAGGGGAAAGGAAGTGGTAGGTAATGAACTTTGATGAGTTTGAGTTGTGCTTAGTGTTAGTTTTTTTGGGGATGAAAGAGATTAGGGAAGAAGCCAACTCCTAAGATCGAGGATCTTTTGAGCAGTTAAATAATAATAATAATTTGAAACTTCTTCTTTCAGTGGTTTTGTTCTGAAAAGTGCTTTCGTGTTCTTTTTCCTAAGAAATGGAAGGGTCAAAACCTCAAATCATATGTTTAACTTAATTTAGCCCAAACTGCCTATTTCACCCTTTTTTCCTCCAGATTCCATTTTTTTTTTCCCTGATAATAATTTTAGTTTCACAGCCCCTCCCAAAACAAAGCACATGTTCAGCTTGACCACAGACTTTAAAGTCACTACTTCCCATGAGCAGATCTTGTCAGCTTCTCATTTAATTGAAAATGCTGATGCCTGGGCATTTTCACATCTCCAGAAACGCTTTATATTTTCTAGCTCAACAAACACAAGTTTCTAAGAAGGCTTGTGTTCTTATTTAACTTAAAAAAAATAAATCTGAGAATCCACAGTTATGTTCAGTCTGTTGGAGATATTTCCCTTTAAGCTTGACTTTGTTCTCACCAAAGTGGCTTTACTCTGACTTCATGCCTTTGACTTCTGTGGAGGAATATCTAATATAAAACAGGGGCAGAATCAGCCCCTGAACGCTTATTTTATGTGCTGGTCACTGTTACAGTAACATTACTCGCACTGAAAAGGGGGAAAAAGGGAATATAGAGAACTTCCATGAGGATGCATGTGGGGATCAATATGCCTGCACCACTTTAAAACAAGTAATGCCACATATATTGTTTTATATTCTATAAAATGTGTGCTAAATGTGCTCAAAGCTGGTGTGAGTAATGGGGTGCAAAAGCTTGAACTGGACTAAAATAAATATTTCTATGGATCAGGAGAATCCCACCTGGAATGGAGCTGCAGCAGGCAAGGTTTTGCTGCTGAAATTCATCTTTAGTGTGCAGTGGACACAGATTATGTACTAGAAAAGGCTCATTATTGCCAATGGAACTCCTGGGGACTTCTATGGAATATCCACCAAAAAAAAAAAGAAAAAAAAAAGAGGGTGTGTATATCCCACAGAAGGCTCTTTGAAGGCCAGGTGTTGTATTCCCCACTCCTCTGCCCCAGCCCTCACAATTCCCATCGTTCAGCACACCAGGACTGAGTGAGGATGCCTTGGGATACAGTTTCCCTGGAAATCTGCTGTCCCAGCCTGTCAGGATTGCCTTGTGGCCTCAGAATGATCAGCTCATTCATAGAAAAGAGAAGCTTTCTGAGTTGCTGTAATTATCCCAGAATAGAGAGAATTTCCCTTCCAATTTCCTCCAAGGATAAACCAATTTCACACTATTTTGCCCTTTGCAGAAGCTCTCCTGCCTAATTGCTGGGAATCACCTGTCTTGGAAAGATGATTTCAAATCTTCCTTTACGAGACCGACCACGTTGTTTCGTGTGCTGGTCACCTAAAGTGCCCTACATGTTCCAAAAGCTGCAGATTTTGTGTTTTCATGAGTTCAGACCCTGTTTTGGGCACACAACCAAGTGATCAAAGACTCAACATGAGGTGTTGAGGGAACACTTCACAAAATTTGAGATATGATAAGTCTCAGGGTTTCACTGGGAGTAATTTTGTCTAGAAGTGCCAAGAGTGGGGGATTTCACCAGGTTTTACCAAGGAGCTGGATCACCAGAACAAGGCTGAGGTTGTGTGTGCTAAGCACTGAATGGATAATTGGGGAATAACTGCTCCAGACCCAGCTTAAAAAACTAGGCTGGGCAGGTGGAGATAAAACAGGAATAAGGACTCAAAGATGAAAGTGATCTGGATCATAAAGACATAAGAGGATCCCTTGACTCAGAGTGGTTCCATCTGCCTGCAGGATAATGAAATTTCCTTTCTCCAATCCAAACCTATTTTGAGATGTCAGTTTTCTTTGTGGGCTGGAGAAACTGAGTGTAAAAAATGGCATTTGGACAAAGAAGTGTCCTTTCACCTAATGGACAGGGCCAGGAGGGCAGGAAGGGGTCAAGAGGACAGCTGAGATGTGGATGTGGGGAAGGTGAAGGATGAGTCAAAGAAAGGATGGGAAGCCAAACTGGGATGAGGTTTTGATGCAGGCAATTTGTCAAGGTCCCCAAATAGGCAGAATTGTGCCAGGAGCCAATACTCAGTGATGAGGCTCAAGGAAAATCTGGAAGCAGAAATAGAGGGCAGGGCAGGGTGGCAAAGTCCCGGCTGTTGTGATGTGCCTAAAACAGGGAAGGACAGACTGTGGGATCCAGGAACTGCAGGATAGGGAGGAATGGGCACAAAGCCTCCACTTTGAGAAGATTTACCACAGAAGATCTGCCAGTTTTCATGTCAGCAGGAAGGACCTCACACCAAGACATGAAGGGATCCTGGTGTTGCCTGGACCTTCCCTCCTCCTGCTCTGCTCCTCTCCTCCCTTCCCAATCTCCTTGGCCTCTCTCCCTGCTCCAGCTGCTCCACTGACTTCTCCCTGTCAGCTCAAGCAGATCTTCCAGAGCAACCAAAGGTCTCCTGGTGGGAAGGGGCTTGCCATGGACAGAGCTGCAGGATCTCACATGGAGTTGTCCCCACCACAAAGGCTGTGCCCAGTTCAGCTCTGCAGACACAGCCCCTCACCCCCAGTGCTGCAATTCCCACCAGCCATGCGGGGACTTGGGGCTCCACAGGGCTTTGATTGGGAACATCAGCTCAGGCAACAAAGCCTTGCTGCCATTTCTGGGCAAGAAGTGGAGAAATGGAGGGGATCCAAGGAGGTGAGGCAGGGGAGAGCTGCAGAGAGGGAGCCGGTGTTGGGGTGGGTGCTTGGCTGTGAGACCTCGGGGCTGCTCAGGGTGTAAAGTCCAAACCCAGGAGGGTCCTGAGCCACTGCTGGAGATGTGTTTGCTGCAGGAGGGGAGGGGAAAACGGGAATTTCCCTGAGAGGCAGAAAGGTCTGTGGAAATGAGTAAGTGCGAGGTGGGAAGTTAAACAGCCCTGAGCCCCACCAGGGTCGTGTCTTTGGAGCTTTTCACCTCGTGTGGGGACAACTGGTGGCCAACCTTCACCTAGGGCAAGGTTGGGAGTCCCGTGGGGCCAGGGCCCACCATCAGCTGTGGTTGGATTCCAAACAGTGATTTCATCAGTTGCATTTGCCTTGCATTAAATATAATGGAAAGCAAAACATTGCAGAGGTTTTCTCCCAAAATTTCGGTGGCTGATTTAAAAGTGTGCAAAATTTTGCTCTGTGTCTCTCTCTACCTTGGGGTTTTTTTTTTTTTTTTTTGTTTTGTTTTGTTTTGTTTTGTTTTTGTTTTTGTTTTTGGGTTTTTTTTCCTGTTATCCTAAAGTTAGGACCTGGAGGGGACATTCCACTTTCATGATGAAACAGAAAGCGTTTTTTGTGTTCCCTAGATCTTTTCCAGAATATTTTGAGGCTGTATATGGACTTAGAGAACTGTAAACATTTTTTTGGAAAAACCAAAAATCTCAAGTAGCTGCTGCAAAGCACAAGATATAATTTTAATCTACTTTACAGGGAAGTTGGAAGGGATTAATTAAACAGTTAATAATTAACCTGAGCTTTATGTTAGTGCAAAGTACTGAGTAAATGTATTCATAAGGAAATTATGAGAAGTAACTACCTTTTAGAAAGGAGAATCTGAAGAAGGGTCATGCAAAACTATACTGGAAGTGCTGGAGAAAGCTCAAAAACCCTTTTTTTTGTTTTGGAGTTGAGGAAATTGTACATTGAAGGTGGAATTAGGGACATAACCTAGCTCAATATTCAAGAGAAAGCTTCCTACCCACAGATATCAAATGTTCCTCCTTAGCTTACAAAGTTTTGAAGAATTTTCAACTTTTGCTTTCAAAAATACATTTTCCCCCCCTCCAATATGACTTTCATTTTTCTGGTTTGGCTTTTCTTTGTTTGTTTTGGGGTTTTTTTGAATGTTGTTTTGGGTTTTTTTGTTGGTTTTTATTTTTGGTTTGTTTTTTGTTTTGGGGTTTTTTTGAGGTTTTTTTTTTTTTTTTTTTTTGTTTTGTTGTTTTGATGGTTTTGTTTTGGGGTTTGGGTGGGGTTTTTTTGTTTTGTTTTTTTTTTTTTTGTTAGTTTTTGGTTGGTTTTTCTTGTGTTTTTTTTTTGGGGGGGGGTTATTTCATTCCAGCCTGCAGCTTCACCTTTCCCTACCCATTAAATTAAGGCTCTAGCGAGCTGCAGGGGAGTGATGGCACAGAGAAAGAAGAGGAAGGAGGAGGAGGAGGCAAACATCAGACATCTCACCCCAACACGCGCCCACAAAGCCAAAATCCAACAAGATCCCCCCGACGACCCTGGAGGGATCCCCCACCAGCTGCCGCAGGCCAGAGCCCTACAGCAGAAAGGCCCCAAAGAAAGTTTTGTGCTCCTTGGTGTAATCCACCAGCTTGATGTCACTCACGTTGACCATCAGCTTGTCTCCCACCTCCAAGGAGACAACAGCGCCCAGGTAGATGGGCTGGAACCAACCATTGCCGTTCTCACTGAGGGTCTTGGTGCCCGTCAGCAGCTGGGTGGGCTCGGGGTAGCTGTCAGTGACCTTGGTGATGACCTCAGTGACAGAGCTGGCCTTGTGGCTGCTCTCCACGGGCCCTCGGAAGGTGACCTGAGCGTACACGTAGTAGTCCCCGGACACAGGAATCACCAGGGCGTTGCTGGAGTAGCTCAGGTTGTTCTTGGTGAAGGCCAGGCCTCGCTTGTCTTCCCACTGCAGGATGGGCAGGTGGCTCCCCGCGGCGCTGGCCAGGTCCTGCTTCTTCACTGCAGCAGGGAGAGAGAGGGACAGGGGCGTGGGTGAGGTTGCCATGGTGTGGATGGAGCAAGGAATCTCTGCTCTGGGCGGGGAAGGATTTAAACAGTTTGAGCAAAAAGCTGGGGCAGAAATGTTCTTATTTCATGGCTTGATAACTGAGCTGAATGGGCTGCAGGACTGTGGGAAACGGATTTGTAAAGAGTTCTTAGGGTTTGATAGAAAGAAACCCTAAAAACTCTCTATGAGTCCATTTCCCACACAGGATAGCTGTCCAGTGGTATTCTTCAGGGTGCCCACAGGGTGTGCAGGTCTGAGCTGCCAGGGCTGAAAGCCAAGGGTGCTCTAGGAAGATCCTGACAGTGTAAGCTGTGCTTGGTGGGTCAGACCCCAAAGGATGAGCTGTCCATCCTCAAGGCTGAGTCTCCTGGCACTGGAAGCAATGGAGATGGCTTTACCTTCCCATCTCACCCATTTCCAGAGTGAAAACCTTGTCCTCAGGTGACACCAGCACTGGGACAGTTGTACCATGCTTGTACCTAAGGGCTGGGGACAGGAAGAGGAAAATTCTAAACCACTTTTTCCTTCAGAAGGGGCGGATTGCAATTCTGTTTCTTAGAAAGACACTGCTGAGCTTGCAGAATGTCCACACTGGTCACCAGGATGTGTCAGCAAGCACTGAGACACCTGGACTTCTCTTTCTGCCTCTTCTTCAGGGGGTTGGGGCTCCTCAGCCCTTCTCCTCCCGAGTGCTCTCAAGGACATCTTTTGTAGAATTGCTGTTGGTTTACCAAGGTCACTGGATTTTAGCAAAAACCCCAAAGACCCCACTGTGCTTCAAGAGCTTCAATTCCAAAGCAACACCATATATTTTAAACAATTTTTATCCCTCTCTTCCCCTTTTTTCTTTCTTTAATGCTCTTCTGGAACAAAATACTACACTTGGAGTCAGACTCAACATTCCTCCAGACTTTTTTTCCCAATCCTGTGGTGAGCTGATTACAAGCAGAGCTCCAGTCCTGACCCCAGCACCAGCCTGATCCAAGCTGAGAATGCTTCCCAGCCTGCAGGGGGAAAATTAGGGAATTGCTGCCCTTTTGCCTTCACCACTTTGATTTCTCACACACAGCAGAGAGGACAATAAACCTCAGCCCTTGCATGTTTTTCTGCAGGGAAGCAAGAGTTGTCTCTGCTCTTTACTGACTGCCACATAGAATTGTTGTGCTAAAGCAGCAGCAGTGGGAAGAAAAGGATAAAAACCATGAAGATTATCTCAGGTATTAAAATGAACCTGAAAATGAATGATGAATGCTTAGAAAAGATTGAGGGAACAGAGTTCCAGGAACTGAGACCTCTTTAATGAGCTTGTGTTCATGTTTAAAGTTGATTTTTATTCAGTATTTGGGGAAGGGTGTGTGTGCATGGTGGCAAATGGAATGCAGGTGAGGGAGGGCTTTGGAATTCCCTTGGCAATAACCATTAGGTCCATCCTGGGTGAAATGAGACTCAGAAAAAGGAATGTGCTCATGTCCCAGTGGCATCTATTTCCCTCTTTCCCAACAATAAATAATCCATGAGGAGACAGGAAGCTGTTAGGAGTGCAATTCCTTTTATATTCTCAGAGTAGCACAACAAAATAATGGCCTTTTTTTTTTTTTTTTTTTTTTTTTTTTTTGGGCCTGCTGAAGTATCAAATCCTTCTGATCTTTTCTCAGGAGGCAAAGTGGATGGGGAAAGTATTTCAGGGAAGGGGAAGACAGACAGGGATTGTGGAAGCAAGGAAAGCTAAATTATAGAAATATTATAAAGGTTAGAGACAATGGAGCTTTGACACAGAGAGGGGAATAAAACAAGTGAAAGTGCTCCTGGTCTGCCTTCATCCACCTCTCAGTTCAGGGACTGTCTGAATGATGGGAAAAGCTCAGCTAGCTTTGGATCACTCTAAGCTTCAGCAATTCATCTCAGAGCAATTCATCTCAGAAAGCAGAGGAAATCTTGTTTGAGGTGGGAAGGGTGAGGAAAGATGAATAATTCCAGAAAATGTCCTGGGCTCTATTCCATCTCTGGAATTTTTGGGGGGATTTTAAGAGAAGCTGCCTGTGAAATATTCTTTTCTTGCAGAATGATGCATTTAAAATGTAAATGACACTGAATTCCACAATTAATTTTTATATTAGTTATAAAATAGATTTTATTAGTTATAGAATATTATAAGATCTCAAATGAACTACATGACTTCCTAACTTCTAGAATTAGTCAGGTTTCACAGCTTTAACCTTCCTTTTAAGATGAATCTCCCTCTATTGATGCTCTCTATTTTCAAGTTAATTACTTTTTCCCATGCTTTCAGGAAGAGGAGAATAAAATGAATGTTCAAGTGCTTTTTAATACAGCACAGCTCCTTTTCTAGCAGCAGCTGTACTTTGTAATTGTAATTTATTTATTTATTTCCTAAATTCTGGAGCTCTACTTCCTGCAAATATACCTATGATGCTCATTCTTAAAGGAATTAAAATCTGCTTTTAATAAGGGAATCATTGCCACAGTTCTTTCTGTTTTCTCACACACTATAAACTTCTGGCATCCCTTAATTCTCCTGTCCCCAAATTCCTTTTGGTTCCGTCCCTTGCTGGAGAATCCCTGTTGCCTGTCAGATTAGGGATCTCTTTTGTGCTGAATTTGTGGGGTTTCTGCAGTTCTCAGCACCAATGGGAGAGCCTAATCCTGAACTCTGAGTCTCAGCAAGAGACTTGTGGTGAAGCCCTTGTGGTGCAGGGTCCTGTGTCCTCTGTGTCCTCTGGTGCTCCAGTTCATGCCCTGAGCATTCAATAAAGGGAATTTGGAAGCATAAATGAGGCTCTGGCCACATTTAGAGGTGGCTTTGGGACCACTGCAGCACAAGGAGCACGAGCCAGGTCCTGCAGCTTTGGTCATACCCTGTGGCACACGCTGGTGACAAGAAGGAACAGGCACCGCCCTGAATCCTGACCCCAAATCCAACCAAATAAGAGGGGAGAGGATGATGGCAAGGCAAGGAGAAGCCCCAAATAAACATTAATGCACAGGGGGAAATGGGTTTGGAGGGAGCTCTGAGCTGGGTTTTGGCACATCTCAGTAGGTAAAGTCATCAGGGAGGGGAGATCTCGATTCCAGCCTGGATGAAGAAAAATTCTCAGTGTGAGTTAAAAAGGCCAAGAGCAGCTGGAAGATTTATCATAAAGGAACAGACACCAAAACATGGAGCTGTTCTGCTACTGCCAATTAATCAGTCCATTCCCAAAGAACTCCATCTAATTCTCATTCCTCTCACTCCTCTGTTCTCACCTTCACAATAGATGGGTCTAAAACTAGAAAAAGACAGAATAAAGGTGTGGAAGAGATTTCCTGCAATTTAGGATTTGTAGTCTGCCACCTTCACATTGAATAAGGCACCTGAGGTGGGGGAATGTAACAAAGATCAGGGGAAGAATTATTCCTTTTACACTTTCTATGCACAGGTCATGGTTTCTGAGAAGAGAAAACCAGGGTGGAGCCCAAGAAATTATTATGCACCGAGTTGAAAATAACAGGAAATATTTTCTGCCTGCAAAGTGCTGTTAAGCTGGGGAAGTCTTTGCCACAGGGAGAAGCACCAGGAATGCGTTCAGGCTAAATAAAGGTCAGAGATAATCCATAGATATTGGATTCCTTGATGACTACATAGCACAGCACAGAAAGGAGAGAGAAAATTCCCTTAAGTTTCCCCTTTTCTTGCTCCTCTCTATGGCCAGCAGTGACTGGCCCTCAGTGGAATGCCAGAGAGGATAGGCACAGTCCCAGGGAGGCTGCCTGGGAATGATGGCAAAGGAATTTCTGTAAATATGGGGGCTGAAGAGATTTGGAGAAAACTGCTGGGTGTTTCCCTGTGGCAGCTGGGCTTTTGTGCAACCCAGGGAAGTTCCCAGCAGCAGAGCAGAGCTTTGGCTGCTCCTCTGAGTCACTGGAGCCTCTCTGCCACGGGGGATTTAAAAAACCAAACCCTGACAGTAGCAGACATGGTCCTCTTGCTCCTTAAAACTGGCACCTGAGCAAAGCTGTGACCAAGGCCAGGCCAGGCTGGAAGCTCCAGAAACCCCCGTGCCAGAGGGAAAGGCACAAAGAGTGGGCATCAGGAAGGAGCTGGTGGCTGAAGGAAAGGAAACTCTGCTGGGAAACGCATCAGCCCTGAGCTGCAGAGTGACTGAGCCCTGGGGGTGGATTTGGATCTCTGCAGGAGCATCCCAGCACTTCCTGCATTTCTCAGGTTACAAAGTGCACCCCGGGGCAGCACTGGGCTGCTGGGGAAGCCTCTGCAGTGAGCTGTACTTTGGGGAGGGATAAATGGCCTCAGGCCAGCTGGAAAACCCTCTGGCACTCACTCCATCCACACTGGAGCCAGGCAGGAACTTTTCTCTGGGAATACCTAAATTTTCCACATAGGTGGAGCTGGTGAGGGTGGGGGATGTCTCAGGGCAAGGTCCTTGGTGTGGAGACAGCTTCAAGGCTGAGGTGGTGACATGGGGACCTTGGAGATGCTGGCAGCCCCTTGGAAAGGCATGGAAACCTCTTGGAAAGGCATGGTAACTCTGGAATGGCATGGAAAAAACCTCTTGGAAAGGGATGATAACTCTTTGGAAAGGCATGATAACCCTTTGGAAAGGCATGATAAGTCTTTGGAAAGGCCTGGAAGCTCTTTGGAAAGGCATGGAAACCTCTTGGAAAGGCCTGGAAACTTCTTGGAAATGCATGATAACCCTTTGGAAAGGCATGATAACTTCTTGGAAAGGGATGATAACTCTTTGGAAAGGCCTGGCAGCCCACCCTGTGACAGGACTTTGTGATGGCACCTTGCTACCACGACATAAAAGCCTGGAGGGCTCAGCTTGGCATTACCCTTTCCCTGCTTGCTCTGAAATGTGTCAGAGATTATCTCACTGAAAACAGGGAGGAGGATTTATGGGAATAAATAAAACTAGCCTGATTTGACCTGATTTTGCTCCAAAACTTGTTAATTCTTGCCAATTCACTGCTCCACAAGAGCTCACGTGAGCTCCTTCCCTGCCTTTTCTGGAGGATTCAGCAGATCACTGAGACATTAGGTGCCTGTTTCAGTTCAGTTACAAAAGCTGGTCACTCAATGAAAGAAACAGCTCAGAAAAGTGACATTTCTGTCAGCTGTCTCTCCTTTCCTGCACTTCACTCAGCCTGGCCTGCTCAACAAGGAAAAGCTGATTATTCTGCTCCCCATGTTTCCTGCAACATCTGCTCCTATCAGATCCACACAGACCAAGGTTACTGAACCACAACATTGGCTGTAAAAAGGCTTTAGTTGTGAACAAGAATTACCTGTCAGGTGAGCTCGTGGTTTCTCTGCACTGGAAAGTGTGTCTGTAACTGAGGGAAAAGGGAAAAAACAACGTGTGAGGATGTTTGCTGCTGTTCAATAATAAAATCACAGAATATGCTGAGCTGGGAGGGACCCACCAGGATCACCCAGCCCAGCCCCTGTCCCTGCCCAGACCCCCCACCAAGCCCACCCTGGGCATCCCTGGCAGCGCTGTCCAAAGGCTCCTGGAGCTCTGGCAGCCTCGGGCTGTGCCCATTCCCTGGGGAGCCTGGGCAGTGCCAGCAAAATATGAGTAGTGACTGATGCCCATGAGGAAATCTGCAGGCTCTTTCTGCAGAGGTCTGAGTCGGGCTGATTTGCTGTGATCTGACAGCCCTGAGGTGATAAATGCAAACAGGGGAGTTTGTCAGAGCTGCTGCAGCACCAGCAGGGCACATTGTGGCTGTGTCCTGAACTGCTGGAGGCAAACAGAGGGGAAGGGTGAGGAGCACAGGCTCCTAAATCCCTGCTGGTGCTTGTTCAGGGAGTCCCACTGACCCTGCAGAGCTGTAGGGAAGCCTGTGCCTGCCCAGCTTTGACAGCCCAGGGTTAGAAATGCTCTCATTTCACTCTGCCCACTTTATCTCCCTGCATCCTCTCCCCCAGTGTGCCCTGGCTGGCTTGTCTGGGCAGGGATTGGGGTGCTGAGGGCAGAGGTGTGCTGGGACCGCAACACCGGAGGGGAAAGGGAGGCAAACTCACCAGCAGCCACTGCTCGTTGCTTCAGAAAGTGAGAGCCCCTCTCCTCTGTGACCTGCAGGGGACAGTGACAGCAGTCAGCTCCGAGGGTTTTGTGTGAATTATCCCAGACATGGAATAGCTGCAGTAACATCAGTGAATTCAGATGGAGCATTTTGGCTAAAAGGTGAGCCCTGACAAGTCTTTGTTCACTGCAGGACATTTCTGCTGTTGGTTTAAAACAGCCTTCATCTCTGACAGGGTTCCAGGACCTGGGGGAGGTTTGTTGGATCCTGAGCTGCCCAAGCCTTGGCATAGCTGGGAGAGCAGCAGCAGAGTGGCCAGTGTGACCCAGCCATGGATGGTGAGTGCCCAGCCCTGCTGGAGCCCCTCTGCTGCTTGCACCCTCTCCTGCCCTCAACCCAGGCACAGCAAGCAGAGCAAAGTGAGAGATTCTCCTCAAGGCAGCCAGGTCTGAGCCTCCACAGGAGAAAAGGTTCCCCACAACACCAGCAGAGACCAAGATGGATCAGCTCCACCTGCCTTTTGTCCTGCACCCTGACTAAGCCTGCTCCTTAGGTCTGTCTGGAATTTTGGGTGACCTCCTGGGAGGCAGGAGCTGAGCAGACCCGAGGGAGCAGCTGCAGGGTCCTAGCAGCTGCTGGGAGCCCGCACTGGGAAAAGCTCATCCTTCCTCTGCTCTGCAATTCCCTCCTGGAGCCGGACACCCCCACTGCCCTCGGCAGGACGTGTCCCTGGGCCCTGCCCTGTGCCGCCGAGCTCAGCAGTCCCTCGGGACTGTGCCTGTCACACACTCGGTGTCCTGAGTCACCTGCTGTGCCCCCCGAGCCACCCAGGCACGGCACGGCCGGGGCTGCGCGCCCAGCGCCTGGGGGATGGTGTGGGGTGCTGGGGGATGTTGGGGGATGCTGGAATGCTGGGGGATGCTGAGGGATGATGTAGGGTGCTGCAGGATGCTGTGGGGGGCTGGGGGATGCTGGGGGATGTTGTGGGATGGTGGAGATATTGGGGATACTGGGCAGTGCTGGGGGGTGCTGGTTGGATGCTGGGAGTGCTGGGGGATGCTGGGGATGGTGGGGATGGAGGGGGATGCAAGGGGATGGAAGGGAATAATGGGGATGGTGGGGATGCTGTGGGATGGTGTGGGATGGTGGAGATATTGGGGATACTGGGCAGTGCTGGGGGGTGCTGGTTGGATGCTGGGAGTGCTGGGGGATGCTGGGGATGGTGGGGATGGAGGGGGATGCAAGGGGATGGAAGGGAATAATGGGGATGGTGGGGATGCTGTGGGATGGTGGGGGATGTTGCGGGATGCTTTGGAATGCTGGGGATGCTGCCTCACATCTGGCCTCGCAGGGCTGTGAGGAGCAGCCCTTGGAACAGCCTGGGTTGTGCTGACCCTCGGGATTGACCCATAGGGTTGACCCACAGGACTGACCCTTGGGACTGACCCACAGGACTGAGCTCAGGGCTGACCCTCAGGATTTACCCTCAGCTGACCCTCAGGGCTGACCCTCGGGACTGACCCTCGGGACTGACCCCCGGGATTCACCCTCAGAGCTGTCAGGAACCCCCATCCCAGAATGTCTTTCAGGAACACACAGGGCTGGCATGGTGTGTTTTATGGGCAGACACCAAAAATACACAGAATAAACTAAATAAACTACCCCTGGTCAGCTCATAGCAAAGTATTTGAGGCACTTTGCCCAATAAAAACTGAAACAATATTAATATCTAGATGCTGAAGCTGGCTCCTGCTGGCTGTGTCTCACACAGCTTCAAACACTGCAGGAGAAGGAGAAAATAGAGAATTTATATTGGCTGGGGAAGGGGAATGTTTGTGGAAGGAGAGCAGCCTGCCTGGGGTTGGGGGCTGCTGGCTGCTCCAGGAAAGCCAAAGATAGTTTAATGTTTTACTGGAAGTAAACATCCGTGTGCTCCTGCAGCAAACAGTCATTTCTAAAATAGCTGCTCCAGCATGGTGGGAAAAATGGAGAAGGAAACAGTAGGGAAAATTCTCCTTTGTTTTTTTTTTTTTTTTTTTTTTTTGTATTCCCTTGCCCACCTGTACACAAATGTGTGGCCCAGCCCCAGCAGCCTCCTGGCAGAGACTGCTGTGAACTTCCAGTGTGGGGCTGAGGGAAAATTGGTGCTGTTCTGTCCAGGAGATTTCTGAGCCTTTCATTATGGGTGAGGAGTTTCAAAGTCCTGCTCTCTGTGGTGACTAACCACGAGAGCCCTGCTAATGTGACTCAGTCACAGGCTGTGACTTTGTCCCTGCCCTGGTGGGAAGCACAAGGTCAGAATTAAGGATTTCCCTCATTTTCCCCTGGCTTTGAGCCAGGTGTATTCACCTGGGGGTATATTTACACATTCCTTGTGTGGCATTTCCTACCTATTGCCCAAGTGAGTAATTCTCATTAGTGATCCCACTCTCTAAGGATTTCTGCAGCCAGGGGAAAAAAATCAATCCCAAACCTATATTTAAGAATGTAACTTCTGTGGAATTGTTTACATACTTGAAGCTTAACTTCTGCTGAAGTTCCTTGTATAAACTTGGATGTTGCAATCCAAACAGAGGTGGTAGGAAAATGGGAAGGAGAGCAAGAAGAATTCTGCTTCTTTATAAAAGATAACAAAAAGGTTTTGTTTGAACCTAAACTCGTTTCCTAAGAAATCCAGCTGGAGACTCCAGGTGCAGGAGCTGCATTGAGGGACAGAGCAGATAGAGCAGGGGGATAGAGCAAGGTGTGAAATTATTCTGCTACTTGGCAAAGGTATGGCTGTTCTGTTTTTTCCTAATTGTGCTATCTCATAAAGGTGTAAATATAAATACAAATCTCCTACAGGAGATGTTTCAGCAGCAGACAATGCTGCATAATGACCAGGTGTCAGAAATACTTGTCCTGAACAGGCACAGCTGTTGTGCATTGATGGGGAGGGAGAGCTGAGCAGCAGGAGACAATGGAGAGAACATTCACACAATCAGTGCTTTCCTCTCTTTCCCCTTTCTTGCTCAGCTGTTCTTCTGAAAAGTTCACAGCTTCAATTTTCCCTTTGGTTACTGTGGAGAGCCCAAGCACTGAGTGATGTTGAAAACCCCTCCTTGAGCTGACTCACAGATATTTGGACAGGCAGCTCTAATGGCCCTGGGGATTGCTGGGTGCAGAACACTTCTGGTACCACAAATGTCCAAAAAGCCCCAGTGCATTTGTATCCAGGTATTGCTAAACCCAGAAAGAAGGGCTGATATCCAATGGCATGGCAAGAGAGCTGGCTCTGCAGGCAGAGGGGCTGATGAGCAGAATTAATACCCCCAGCTCCTCCATCCACTCCATCTCCAGCCCTGTTTCACAGGGAGGGTCTCTGTGATGTGAAGGTGATGTGAAGTACATAAACCCAGTTTTTTCTAATTTTTGCATGGCCTGGACTGTGAATTTTTGGCAGGAACTGGTCTGTGCCAATAAAAACTGCCTTCAATCAGAACATTTTGCTGCCCAGTGGAAGGCTGTACCCAAGGCACATGGCCACAAGGAACATCTGCATCCAGCAGCGATAGCCAGGCAGGGATTTAACTGGTGCTGGCTTTGGAAGGGGAAACCCAACACCTGGGCCTATCCAGGTGTGCTTGCTGCTCCTCCCCAAGCATTTCTCCTTCCCCAAAGATCAGGAAGCCTTTTGAGGTTCTCCTTCCTTTGTGGGCAGGCCATGAGGGCAGATCTCTCCTGGGGTTTCTTGCCAGCTTTCCAGCAGGATCCAGGTGGAGCCTCTGGGATTTTCCAGTTCCTCCTGCTCTGCAGCAGGTCCCTTCTCCACTGCCAGCTGACATGGCACAGACCTGGCACACAGCTGCATGTCCAACCCTTGGCACAGGGTTTGGAATCCCTATTTATGCTGCTTGGGGCCCTGACGTGCCAAGGATGCCAAGAAAAATAAACCCAAATACCAACTTCTCCAGGCCACGGGACTTGATGCTCTGCTGAGTGGGATGCTGAGGCAGCCAGAGCTGCTCTCCTGTGCCATTCCATTGATAGTTTTGGGAACTCAGCCTGAAATGTGGTTTCCCTTTGAGGAAGGATTGCCCTTCCTCTAGCAGGGCACCACCACTGTGGCCTTAATATAGATTTCCTGCTAGTAACACAAGCCACATGTTCTGGTTTGAAAAACTCTTTTTCCTCTCCTCCCTCTGGACTGAAGCACAAAAGAAAGTGGTTTCTCTTTCCCAAAGGAGCATGGAGGGAGCCTGGAAGGAAAACCATCCAAGGAAAACCATCACCAGACTGGAACTATTCATCCGAGATGCATCGTACCATGACACACAGAGAACACTGGTAGCCCACACATGTTGCTGTAATGACATAACTTGCCCTGCTTTTTCCTGAAAGGGACATTTCCAGTGAAAGAGATGAGTTTGCATCCCTCCAGAGGCACAGGTGACACCACGTGCACCCAGGCGAGGCAGGGATGACCAACGCGCCTCGCCCTGCGGGCAGCGTGCCCAGGGGCACTCCCCTGTTGCACAAACCTTCCCGGGCTTCCCTTCTACTCCTTGCTCCAGGAAGGACTCAGGAATTTACTCCATCTGCTCCTCACCTGCTGAGTCCCTCCCTCCTACCAGGATTGTCCCCAGAGCACTCGAAGGTGACAATTGTGTGTGGGCAGAGCTCTGTGGAGCAACCAGAGGGCTCCTCCCAGGGCTGCAAGGGTCAGGAGGCCAATACTCATCTGGGGCAAGCTTGGGGCTGCCCACTCATCCCTAAACCAGTGCCCCAGAGAGCTCTGCCACACATGGCCGGTCCCAAAAGTCCTGATCCGAGCTGTCAGTGGGGCACATGAGGACGGAGCCACTCAGCAAACTTTGAATGAAGAAAGAAATACAAAAAGACATTTTTCTGAGAGCTTTTATGCCTAGAAATATTCCCAGGGACTGAACCTCTCTGAACCTGCAGGCTCCTGGGGGATGTGGCTCCTTGGGGCATTCGGAGGCAGCCACACAGGCAGAGACATCCACCCCTCTGTGCTGTCCTGCTGGACCACACCGATGAGCACAGCGAGCAGCAGAGTGACTAATGAGGGTGAATAATGAGCACATAGAGCAGCAGAGGGAATGGTGAGCACAGAAAGCAGCAGAATGAATGAAAATCAGGCAGGGCCCAGCTGAGGTGCAGCTCCTCCCACAGCACCCCAGGCACCCTGCCAGCCCTGATGACTTTCTTCTTCCTCCCTGGGACTCGTAGAGGTTGTAACTCCTCTGATCACCTCGTAACATCACTGCGGAAACATTACGTGTTGCTAATTGGGAGCAGGTGCATGGGAATGCACACCAGCATTGCAATTCCAACCACTTATGTTGTGCTTTTCCTCTTAAGAAACCAAACCCACTCATAAAAAAAACTTTGCTAACCCTGCCAATGGGGTCCAGGAATGCTTTGGATTGATTAAACAAGTTAACATTTGATCATTCTTCTGCTCCAAGATTGTTTCAAGACTGGACTGTTCTGCTCTCGTGGGACACAAACAAACCCAGAGCAGCAGCAGAGGTGCCAAAGCACCTTGTGAATTTTACCACCCCAACCTCGAGTAGCACCCAGCTTTTCAAGCTCCTCCACATTCAGCACCCAGCTTTTCAGCTCCTCCTCTGCTCTGCTGTAATTCCACATTTTCAGAACTGAAGGCCCCCAAATCCTCTCAGATCATGCCCAGCCACTGAAGAAAGCTGTGCTCTGGCACCTGCAGCTAGGGCAGCCTGGGTTTCTACAGCTGGAACCGAGCGCAGTGACAAGGTCAGGGCAGCATCACAGCTCACACACTGAAGGAATTGCCAGATTTAACAGCCAGAGGGGCTGCACCGGGTTAGAACCAGGTGAGACGGAGGATGCTGCGCCCTGAGCTCGGCATCACTCGGGCAGGGCAGCCTCGGGGTCACAGCGGGGCCAGCGCAGCCCCGGGAGCCGCCAGCGGAGGCGCGGCCGCGGCTCTCCCCTCCCCGAACATCCCCGGGCTAAACGCGAGCCAGGTGACAAACCTGCCTTCAAAACCAACCCCCTGTCTGGGTCCCTGCTGATCAACTGGGGAATTTCTGACCTGAAGCTAAAATTCAAAGCTTAATTCACTAGATGTTCAGCACGGGGCATTCCTGCTGAGCTCACAGCCTCCCGTGGGAACTGGCACTGGCAGGAGGGATGGAGCAGCAGAGCAGAATTTGTATGGCTGGGAGCAAAGTCTGGCATAGGAGAAGAGCTGAGAAGAGCCCTGGACTGAGAGAAAGTTTTAATGGGGAGTTAAAAACAGGATGCGGAGTTTAGGGTGAGACTCCCTTAACTGTCTCAAATCAGATCTCTGCAGAAGTTCGCATTAATAATAATTAATTATTCACTAGAGCTGTAGCTGTCAGCCCACTGACATCAGCAGATCTTCCTGAAATCAGACACTGCAAGGGGAAGCTGCATATTTAACCCAAAAGAAGGGAGGAAAATGACCCATAGCATCAAAAATCTGGCAGAAATCAGTGATTTTTTTAAGCATTCCCTGCGGCACTGCAATAAAAGTTTTAAAGTAACTTACTCCTGATACCAGACACGGTGAGGGGAAGCAACAGATTTCACCCAAAAGAAGGGACGAAAATGAGCCATAGCATCAAAAATCTGGCAGAAATCAGTGCAGAGACACTGATTTACAACATGTAGTGATTTTTTTTAAGCATTCCCTGCAGCACAGCAATAAAAGTTTTAAAGTCATGTACTCCTGAAATTAGACACTGTGAGGGGAAGATGCAGATTTAACCCAACAGAAGGAAGGAAAATGACCCATAGTGTCAAAAATCTGGCAGAAATTAGTGCAGAGACACTGATTTCCACCAATCAGTGATTTTTTAAGCACTCCGTGCAGCATAACAATAAAAGTTTTAATGTACTCCTGAAATCAGATACTGCGAGGAAAAGCCACAGATTTCACCCAAAAGAAAGGAGAAAAATGAACCATAGTGTCAAAAATCTGGCAGAAATCACTGATTTTTTTAAGCATTCCCTGCGGCACAGCAATAAAAGTTTTAAAGTCATGTACTCCTGAAATTAGACACTGGAAGAGGAATCCGCAGATTTCACCCAAAAAAGGGGAGGAAAATGAGCCATAGTGTCAAAAATCTGGCAGAAATCAGTGATTTTTTTTTTTTAAAGCATTCCCTGAAGCACAGCAATGAAAGTTTCAAAGCCATCTACTCTCCTTGTGACCTCAGCGAAAGTAAGGAACCGTTAGTTAAAAAAGAACGCGCAATACCCAGACTTATCCTCGAGGTGAGGAAGAAGGAATGCACCGGCGAGTCTCACACGTGCCCGGGAACACGAGAAGCTCACGGAGAGCACGGAAAGCGCTCCACGGCGGCTCCGTGGGGAGGCGCGGGCGGCACTCAGGTGCGCCGCTCCTTACCTGGCCGCAGGAGCTGTTGGCCCGCAGGTTCCCGAGCAGCAGGTAGGCGGTGGGCAGCATCAGCAGCAGCACGGCCAGCAGGCAGAGCAGCAGCGCGCAGCGGATCCTCCGCAGGTCCTGGCGGAGCAGCATCCCGGCTCCGTGCCCGCTGCCCGCAGCCTCCGCGCCCATCTCCACCGCGCTCTCCATGGCAGCAGCGCCGGGCTCGTCCTGCGAGGGAGCCGGGCACCGCCAAACCTCCTGTGGCTCCTGCCCTGCATGGAGACCCCCATTAAATAAGAGCTGTGCCGAGTGTGGGAAGGCACCGGCGCACACGCAGTGCCTCCCTCCCTCCCGAGGAATGCACCGCCTACAGTAGAAACCCGGCAGGAGCCGCGCTCCCCGCGCTGCCCGGCCGCTCCTGCCTCCCAGCGCTCCTCTCCCCCCGCTCCCTGCTGGAGGAAGCCAGGAAAGTCCCGGTGGGTGGAACCAGGATCTGCCCTGCTGCTGCTGGTGCTGCTGGGCTGGAGCTCCGCAAGATTTTCCGCCTGGCAAAGGGAAGGTGAAACCGATGGGAGTGAAAGTGAGAAGCAGGGGCAGAGCGAGAGGCAGAGGCGAGCGCAGCCCGGCAGTTTCTTCTTTCCCAGAAAAAAGGGAAGAGGCTTTTGGGGAAGGTGAGAAGACAGGAAGCGAGTGACCCCAAAGAAGGGTCTGCTTCTCTGAAGTGTTGCTTCATCCCCACATTTTAGCAGAATTCACAAGAGGCTTCCCGTTGCTCAATGTGCACCTTTTGCACCAAACCATCGGGGCTTAGGCCCGAAATCGGATGTTTGTCTGCTCTGGGGCTCATCTTCTCCCAAATCATCTTAATTAAAAATCTTAACAAAACGTTGTGCTGTCACAGGGGTCTGTTATTGCTCCTTGGACAAATGTCTTGGGTTGACTTCATGATGCCTTTATCATAAACCAAGAAAACAAGTGTGATTTTACTGTACTTGGGGCAAAAATGATGTCAGTGTTACTTGGCTGACAGCTGCTATCCCTGACAGAGAGGGGCTGCAGCTTGTGGGCATCCTCTGGAGCTGATCTGTGGATATTCTTAGTTCAGTTGAAGAAAGAACAGAGATATTTTTTCTCAGGCTGGGCCTGGGAATTTGAGAAGAAAAGAATTAAAACAATTATTATTTCTCTTTCTGTAACCATTGTTTATAGTTATGGTTCTCCACAGTGTGCTAATCATAATAATTAATAATGTGAGATGTTTCTACTTGGAGACAATCAGGTCCCAGCTTAGCGAGTGAGACTGTAAAACTCACAACTTCTTGCTAATAAAGAATTATTCTGTTTTACCTTCAGATCCACCTAAAGATGGAGTCTTTCTTTCCCTCCCTGACTCAACAGCATCACTGATCAGCAGCACAGCTGGGAGGAACACGCTCTGCTGGCAGCTGATGTCCAACTGGAAGGGGTTCCTGTATCCCAGGACATTCCTTCCTTGCTCCCTGCCACTCTGCAGCAGCCTACCCTCCCCAGGGAAATCCTCTCATTTAGGAAGTGCTTGGCATGCAGATGTTGCCATTTAGACTTGCCCAGACTGTTGAGGTTGGATTTTTTTTGTCCCCAGGAAAGTTCTCATTAAAACAGAAACTTTCTTTGAGGTGTATGTGCACACACAGTGATGTGCAGCAACTTCTCCTTTTTCCCTGGGTAGAGAAACAGGCTGGAAACTTCAACACATTTTTTAGTGAGAGAGATTTGGTTCCCCTCACCTCCCCATGAAAAGCTTTTCAGATTTGGGCTTTTAAAAAATAAGATCAAAGAAATAAAACTGTTTTCTCATGTCCCAGGCTGTCTATAACATCCCTTTCCTTGACAAAAATTCAGCTAGCTCTTCTGACTTCAATGACACAGAAAAAAATCTTCTTATTGCAATAGCTGAGAGCAGCTCTTGATGTTCTGGAGAGCTCCAAGTCATGCTCTGAGAAGAACATGTGGTTTGGTCAGCGAGGCTGAGGCTGCCAGCAGCAAGAACAGGATCCTTGCCAGCAGAGCAGAGAGGGAAGAGACCAGGGAAAGTATGAAAGAGTAAGCAAGAAATAGTGAAAAGCAGGAGGTTTAGGGAGATAAGAGAATCCTGGAATGGTTTGGATTGGAAGGGATCTTAAAGGTCCCCTAGTTCCACACCCTGCCATGGGCAGGGACACCTTCCACTGTCCCAGGCTGCTCCAGCCTGGTCTTGGGCACTGCCAGGGATCCAGGAGCAGCCACAGCTGCTCTGGGCACCCTGTGCCAGGGCCTCCGAACGCTCACAGGGAAGAATTTCCTCCCAGTATCTCAAATAAACCTATTCTCTGTCAGTTTGAAGCCATTCCCCCTTGTCCTGGCACTCCATGCCCTTGGACAGTCTCTCTCCATCTTTCCTGTTGGACCCTTCAGGCCCTGCAAGGCCACACTGAGCTCACCCCAAAGCTTCTCCTCTCCAGGTGAACAATCCCAGCTGTGCCAGCCTTCCCTCCCAGCAGAGCTGCTCCATCCTCTGATCCCCTGGTGCCTCCTCTGGATCTCTCCAGCAGCTCCAGCTCCTCCCTGTGCTGGGCCAGGGCTGGGGCAGCTCTGCAGGTGGGGTCTCACCTGAGCCCAGGGCACAGGGGCACAATCCCCCTGCCCTGCTGCCCACGCTGGGCTCAGCCCAGGGCAGGGGGTTCAGGGCTGGCTCCTGCCCAGCTCCTCACCCAGCACAGCTTTGTAAAGCACCAAAGGCTACGTGCTCCCATCCCAGCAGAACCACACCGCTCCTGTCAGACCTCAGACAAGTGACTGACTCTGTTTCCTTCCTTAATTCCTCACTGATTGTTTTCATTTAGGCTGTAAAACCTTGGGGACAAGGACTGCTCTCTGCTTTTACAGAGCCCAGATCTCATTTCAGAGTAGGTGTGGCTCCATTTATCATCAAATAAAACTTGTATTTCTGTGAAGTGCTGTGTAGACAAATGAATTTTTTTACTTTTTTTTTTTTTTTTTTCCTTCTGAGGTCCCAGTTACATATTCTATGGAAAAATACTAAAAAACCCAATACTAATATTTTGACCACGAGTGTCAAAGTTAATTTTTTCTTCACTGTGAGTGCTACAAAAAGCTGAAAATATATTCAAGGCATGAGCCTTGCCAGCAGACGGACACAGATATCTCCGGGGAACACCAGGAGTTTATTTTTATTTTATTTGCCAAGGATTTCCAGGGGAGCCAGCTCTGAGTTACAACAGCTTGTAAGAACTTTTATTGGCCTCAGCCTTCTTGCAGCAGTGCCCTGCAAATCTTTGGCTGGAAGAGGATGAGCAGCTGGAGCCTTTTGAGATGAGCTGGGAGCAGGCTGATGCTCTGCCCCTGGCGCTGAGGCTGAGCTGAGAATTTGCTCTTAAAGATCCCAAAAGAGGGAGGAGAAATTTCTTTTTTCCTGTGTAGACAAGTGTGCCTGGCAGAGAGGAGCCTGGTACTTGCCAGGAGGGTACTCAGGAAAAGAAAGAAAAAGAACACAGAAAAAGAACATTCCCAGGCATGGATTTTTTGGGGAGGAGAAAAACGAGAGGAGCACTGGGAGAGCTTTACTCCCATCTTTTTTCCCTGCCAAACTGGGCTGTATGTAACAATAAAGGGCAAAGAGTGATCACTGAGCTGTCAAATGCATGGGACAGTCACCATTTGATGTTCAAAGCAGGACCTCAGGACCTCTCTGCACCATAAAGGGATTTCCAGGCCAAACAAACCTGCTTGCTTTGGTGCCTCCTGTCTCCCCTTTCCAAAATGAAACTCTCTCTGGAGCTGCCAGGAGAAACCCAGCACTGGGCTGCACTGGGATGCCCTGGGATGCTCTGGGATGCTCTGGAATGTACTGGGTTGCACTGGGGTACTCTGGGATGCTCTGGGATGCAATGGGATTCAATGGGATGTACTGGGGTGCTCTGAGATGCACTGGGATTCACTGGGATGTTCTGGGATGCAATGGGAGGCAATGGGATGTACTGGGCTGTACTGGGCTGCACTGGGATGCTCTGGGTTGCACTGGGATGTACTGAGATGCAATGGGATGTACTGGGATGCTCTGGGTTGCACTGGGATGTACTGGGATGCAATGGGATGTACTGGGATGTACTGGGATGCAATGGGATGCAATGGGATGTACGGGGGTGCTCTGGGTTGCACTGGGATGCCCTGGGATTCACTGGGATGCACTGGGATGTTCCCCAGCCATCCCTGGCTGCATGACAGGGAATGGGGACCCTGGGGAACCACCATGGTTTCACCTTTCCTGTGAAGGGATCCTGATCAGGGCAGTCAGGGATGGTCCTGCTCAGCTGTCAGTCATGTCACATCATGTCACTTCATGCCACCCTTCACATGTCTCCTGCTGCTCCCTGTTTGTCCCCAGCTCCTCTCTCAGCCCAGACTGTTGTGCAAATTCTCCCGCTCTTGTCAAACATGTCCCAGCCTGTGATCCTTGAGTAGTTTCTACTGATTAGAGAAATCTGCAGGGGTAATCAACTGCTGCTGCAGCTCAACAAGCTTTAAAGGGGGCAGATGTTCTGCAGGGGAGTTACTGTGGGGCTCAGAGATGTCTTGGAAGAGCTGAAAAAGTATGAAAGGAATTAGGGATCCAAAGAAAACAGCTTGGCACTGGGCAAGTCACTGCTGTGCTGCTGAGCTTTCGCTGCTGCCTGAAGTGCTTTTTGTTCTCCCTGCGTGTTTGTGCCTGATGTGTCTGAGGGCATTTTGTCTGAGAACAAGCTGGATCACATCTAGCATGAGGAGAGAAAAGTGCACAGGCATGGTCTGACAGCTGTTCCTGTGTTTAGCATGGAAAGTTCTCATTATATTGAATCTTCATTCCTTGTGCATATCAGATGCTGGCTGTGCTCAGTTTTTAGGCTCATAATGACAAGAAGGACATTGGAGCATGTCCAGGGAAGGAAAGGAGCTGGGAAGGGGCTGGAGCCCCAGGAGAGGCTGAGGGAGCTGGGAAGGGGCTCAGCCTGGAGCAAAGGAGGCTCAGGGGGGACCTTGTGGCTCTGCACAGCTCCTGCCAGGAGGGGACAGCCGGGGAGTCAGGCTCTGCTCCCTCAGTAATAAATGAGAGAAGAAAAGGAAACAGCCCTAAGTTGTTCCAAGGCAGGCTCAGGCTGGATATAAGGAGGAATTTTTTCACTGAAAAGTTTATGAAGCCCTGGCACAGACTTCTGAGGGCTGTGGTGGTGTCACTATCTCTGGAGGGATTTAAAGGCCATGTGGATGTGGCACTTGGGGACATGACCCAGTGGTGGCCTTGGCAGTGCTGAGGGAATGGTTGGACTCGATGACTTTGGAGGTCTTCTCCAAGATAAACAGTTTTATAGTTGGATGATTCTATGTCTGTGTTTTAAGTTTTGAAG